GGGATTGAATCGCATATATGTAGTAGACACAGGCAAAACTCAATCTTGTTACAACATATGTGCGTATACACATAAGCGATGGTAAATTACTCGGGCTGATTTACACTGTAAAACCAAACAGACCACTTTAAGGTGAAAAGACTGGCGATTGTGTGGGCTTGGAGAGTTTACTTTGTCGGGTTGTTTGCTGGACTGGAACTGGGGACAGGGCACTGCACACACTAATCAGTGGAAANTCGCGTGTTTTGACACTGTGCTGGGATTTTTTAACTTCAGAGAATTGAGCCAAATTTTACGTTTAGCGGCATCCGCAGGCAGGATATAATAGCAGATGTCTTTCTTATTGTAACCTACATTACGGCACCCGGGAGCAACACAACTTTGCGGCATTTGTTTTTCTGACACCTGGATGTTTAGTCGCCTACTGCATAGTATATACTATTACTAGTACAGCTGTGGGAAGCTACTCCACGGGTTACGTCACTAGAAACTGACCAATCAGAATTTTCTCATCTAAATCTCATCTTTTCTCTCTAAAACTTAAAAAGAACAATTTTTTGACGTGGATTTATAGTTTTTATACTGTAAAAAAAGCAGTGAACGCTATGTGTTCCTAGAGCGCAGTAGGCCTTTAAATTGTCGCCATCAACTTGTCGTTTAGATATCAAGCTTCAGATGTCATTGCACCTAGACTGTCTGACTGGTCATTACCATTGTGGTGACTTTTTACCCTCGACCAGTTCCTGCCAGAATTAGAATTAAATATAAATCATGCCCGGAATAAAAATGACAATTCTAATTTAAGTCTGCCTGTCAGAGACATTAATATGAATAATTTTCTGGGTGAATAATCAGGCGATAAATGCATTCGAGAAGTTTTACAATGGAAGACGAAGGATTTATATGAATTTTATGATTGCGCACTTGTGATTAAGCAACAGTCTACATTACTTATTAAAAAGATACTTCACTAGCAAATGGTGTGCCTGATAATTAACAGTACAGTTGATACGATAAAGAAAATCAGTAGAAATAATAGGAGATTACAGTTTTCCGCCCTGGAAGATTGCGATCTGGACGGTTTACTTATTATCCGGTACCAGTACCTTTAGTTGTGGACAGGTGCCACAGTAATGGTTGGCCAAATGTTGAACTTTACTATATTTAGATTTCATCAAGTATGATGGCTATAATGCAGATAATTTACTCCTGATTAAGTACATGTCCACTGTTGTTTAAAAATGATTGTCCACGCTTTACTCTTGATTAGATACCCCAGCGTTCTTAATGCTCCCTACTAGTGTGCACTGACCAAACGCTGACCGCTGCCCCTGAGCGGTGGCTTGACACTCCCCTCAGATACAACAGAGATACAACAATGGAGGTCGGTCTGACATGTGATCAATAGCACCACGTAGGAGGAGGTTGTGACTGTTTACATACAATATATCAGTAACAGTGACATAATGTCTGTTTTCTCTTAGAGCACACACCTTTCTGGTGCTCTAGACTCGGCCACTCCCACCGAGACATCTTTTCCAAGCAATTGCATGCGATCGATTCGCATCTAGTGAAAGGGCATTGTGCCTTACGTTTGATTTTATTGCACCTTCTTGTCGAACATATTTAACAAAAGGTACCCTGTGTTGTTTTGGCACGCCTTTTGTGTTGAGCCCGTATACACTATGGGATTGAATCGCATATATGTAGTAGACACAGGCAAAACTCAATCTTGTTACAACATATGTGCGTATACACATAAGCGATGGTAAATTACTCGGGCTGATTTACACTGTAAAACCAAACAGACCACTTTAAGGTGAAAAGACTGGCGATTGTGTGGGCTTGGAGAGTTTACTTTGTCGGGTTGTTTGCTGGACTGGAACTGGGGACAGGGCACTGCACACACTAATCAGTGGAGAAGTGAAAGTTCACGGAGTTCAGTTCGACTCCATTGTTGTTTTTTGTTGGACGATGTTCTGTTTTCACTGACTGCGTTTTCACTGACTGAATGGTTTATCTTCGGAAATGATAAATATTTTTGAGAGTGCCCTTTTCTTTCCATCTTTTCTTTTTTTCTTTTTATCTTCTTACTTTCCGATTTTTTTAGCTCTTCTTTCCTTTTTGTGACTTTGTTTCTGTCGTCTGTTTTTGAGANAAGTGAAAGTTCACGGAGTTCAGTTCGACTCCATTGTTGTTTTTTGTTGGACGATGTTCTGTTTTCACTGACTGCGTTTTCACTGACTGAATGGTTTATCTTCGGAAATGATAAATATTTTTGAGAGTGCCCTTTTCTTTCCATCTTTTCTTTTTTTCTTTTTATCTTCTTACTTTCCGATTTTTTTAGCTCTTCTTTCCTTTTTGTGACTTTGTTTCTGTCGTCTGTTTTTGAGAAATAGATCTCTCTCCCAGTTCCCTCCCGCCGAGATCGTTCAATGACAATAGCACAAACCTACAAATCTGCTCTCGAAGACTTGGTTCACTTTTCATGAAAAAAGGTCAGAATTCATTTTTATGCTTGGAGAGCGGTAAACATTATGTAAACTTATATAGCTGTCCTTACGATGTAGGGTCTCTTTAAAGGTAGACGCGGCAATTGAACTGTTCAAGCGGAATACGATAGGTAAACTTGTCTGAAACCAACAGGTTGTTGGAATTGTTCCCTTCCCCCATTGTCTGTGTATTTGCTTGGCTGTGAATCGCCAGGGGTACCTTACCCTCTGGGATGGGTACTTTGAAAATATAAACAACTTGTTCAGTTTCTGTCAGAACGTTACCACACCTGGCAGATTTATGATGATTTGCTTACTGAATTATTCACCTTAACAGAACGGCAACTGCCTTCTGGCTGTATTATTGTAACTGAAGACAATGTTAGGAGCGCTGCATTGTTGTATTGACAAGTTTTTAACCAGTAAATGCGGGTGATAATGAATTTTGTTTACAATATGGAATTTATTTAAAGCCCTCGTTGTGTCCTCGCTTACAATAACTTCACTTAAAGCCTATACTGGTTTTTAAATGATAAGATACAGCTACATGCAGGAAACCAGACCGGTCATGTGTCTGTGGAGGCGGACAGCACCCTCATGAAATGCAAGGTCACGGCCTTGAAACCCGTAGATGCCGTACCAATAGCGCAAATTACATTTGGACCTCGTGCATCTTAAAACAACCAGGCATTTGAACTTCTAAACTCATGTTTTACTGCTGGCGGAGGGGAAGTAGGAATAGAACATGTGCTGCTATAAGAAATATTTTGACAACTGTGACACGTGAATTTTATTTAATGATTAGGGCGCACAAGATTTTCGGACACTCAACAGACTCAAATTCAAGATTTGAGAAAAGATAGAATCCTACGGCATTTTAAGTATAAATTGAATTACTTTTAATAAAAATCGTGAAACTGAGTTTGCCACTAAGAAATGGTTTGTTCATTAAGTGAAAATACCATTTATATAGTTTCAACCAAATTTCGAGACGATTTTGGATGACAAACTCGCACAATGACCGTGACCACATTGGCACTCGATATTGTTTGTGGCAATCAAAGTATCATCTTTAAATTCTAGTATAGGGCTTGGGGACACAGTAATAAAACAATGCAAATCACACTGAAAATGAAACACGCGAAAAAGCCATTTCTTTTAGATGCGTGAAGAATCATGATTGTTGATGAAGTCGTGATGTATACATTTTATTAGTAAGGTGCAGCAAACGCTCAGAGAACAGACGCCATGAGTGGGGTCATGTCTATGGAAAACAGAAGTCACGTTCATATGATAAGCGTCAGCTATATCAAAGTTATTATTTGAAAATTGTTAGTATCTGCTCAAATGTACTGATAAATGCACTCCAAAGGTCAACTAGAGGTAAACAGTAACCATGTAAAACTGGGCTATCTCTCGGTGGCAAGACTTATGCAGTCGTCTGCGCTATTCTCGGCGACTGAACTTCATGGACATGTAACAGAATCTTGCTCATATCAAGAGCAGGGTTAGGAAAGCGTTCGCCCGTGCATTTAATTTTCATCTTAAATCTCCTTTTGTTACGGTTTTACCTTGTATGACCGCTAAACGGTACTTAATATACAAATTCATTTATTTACATTAATGCTTCAACCAAATCGACCCTGCATTTCTATTGTGCACCTTCAGGATAACGGCAAAATGGATGCCATTACCTTAAACATCAACATTCGAGGTTGGGCAATGGAGGATCCTGTCACATTGGAAACATAAACCCAACTAAACCATGGGTCTTTAAAATGCGTTTTTCTTGTTTATTGTTGTCTTGTCCTGTCATTGAAATAAATTAAATGACATATTGAAGAGACACCATGTTGAGGATAAAATGTCGTCTACTAGAAAGATGAAGTTTACGATGATCGTACTCCCACGTCACGAACGAAAAGCTTTTAAAAGTATTTTATTTTAAAAGATGGTTCTTATCACCTTATAGAATTGCCAAATACATTCACCCAGATAACAATAAGTGAAGTGAATTAATAGCGTTCCGAATGGCTGTCCTCATCCGACTGCACGTCACTTAGAAATTAAGACGGCGTTTTAATGAAAACGTTCAGCCATTATACACCGTAACGGTGCCCAGTGCGACTTAATTACCACCAATTACACCTTGGTGCTAGGTGATACTAGTCTTGAAATGAGGGGACGCTAACCCGGTCTCGTGACAGCCAGGGACGATGTAGTTTATCTGTCTTTGAAGACTTATCTTTACTTGGTTTTGTAACTTGAGGGGAGTCGGCGCCGTGTTGGACACGTAATAAACTGTGATCTCTTTATATATTCAATGTACAATAGATTTTAATGTAGAGATTTTAGCTGATGGGCCCATCATGTAAAATTTAAAAATAAACGAATTTGCGTTCAACATGTGATTAATGGCTATAATTAATAAATAAGTAATTACATTGGTCTTTATTTAAATTTTAGAATTGGGGTAGGTAAAGTAATTTATAATTATTTGTATTTCAGGGAGGATTTGCCAAATGTTACGAGCTCACTGATCTCAAGACCAACAAAGTGTATGCTGGGAAAATTATCTCTAAAAGTAGACTGACAAAACCACACCAAAAAGAAAAGGTAAGACGGAGTTTAAAAACCTGAATCACTCTGAAACGGTCCCACATAAAAATTCTAAGCACCCCCTTCTTTGATAAACGAGGTTATTTGTTAGATAAATTCGATACAAAATTAAAAAGTCAGGTTTACCAACAGTTTCATTTGGTTTCTTTTCAGATTGCCAGGGAAATTGAGTTGCATCGCCATTTGAAACACAAACATGTCGTCTGCTTCTACAATTTCTTTGAGGACGAGGAAAATGTCTACATTATTCTAGAACTCTGCAGTAGAAAGGTAGATATTTTTTCGATGGCATCTTTATCTTCATTTTTATTTATGTATTTTAAAGAATTTTGAACAGTCAGACTTTAGGCACCACACTCTCTTAATTCTGTTATTTCGTTCATTAAAAAAAGTTTAGACGTATCAAGTTGCGACTGAATTTTACACATCTTTATCTATTCAGAACCTATTTACAATTTTGATAAGATTTAATTTGAGACCGCCGCTGAAAGGCAACCCGTCTGCATTAGTAGACAATTTATCAGCACAACTCAAATATAAACTTACGAGAAGATTAATATAAAATGTACTTTGTTTTTAAACTTTTGAATAAGAAGGCATGATAAACGTTTTTAAATAAACTGTTTTTGCATTTTAACTAAAATATTTGCCACTTCTTCTGTTCCAGTCTTTAGTGGAAGTGTTGAAAAGTCGCAAGACGCTGACAGAACCCGAGGTGCGCTATTACTTGCGTCATTTGGTGCTAGGTTGTCAGCACATCCACGGACAAAAAATAGTCCACCGAGATCTCAAACTGGGAAACATGCTGCTCAACGAAAACATGGAAATCAAAATTGGAGACTTCGGTCTGGCAACTAGAATAGACTTCGATGGGGAGAGAAAAACGTGAGTACATCCTCAAATTAAAAACAATGCCACAATATTAGACCAACGTTCTTCAGTGCCTTTTAATTCTGCTCAGGCGTCCCAAATTTAACACAGAAACGATAAAACTGATGGCAAACAATAGCACTGTCTTTGTTAATATCAGGCATGTTAGATGTTGTGTGTCGTTTGCCGCTAGTCGTTGACACGAGGAATAAAGCCCAGACACGGGGAGGGAGGACAAATATCAATCTAAGTTCTTTTACATCTGAGCTATGGTTGACCAGGGCGGGGTCGCTTGTTTTAGAAAGGATACAACCTTTCTCTACTTCCTATAATGTGTGTTCCTTGTCATTTTGGTCTGTACAGTGTAAAATAATAGGCATTGCTTACATTTATCACGGACAACGGGCAAAATGAAAACATAAAATTGGCCATAAAATTGCAATCATACAAGTAGTTGATAACCAATGGTCTGACGGGCAGTTTGTCTTATGTGCCAAAAATGACAATTGTCCACTTTTCTGAAGACACTGGTCATTAATATAAGCCAAAGATCACGTGCAATTTGGGATGGCAATAAGAAAAATAGCCTCTGGGTATAACTGAAAAAAAGAAACGGCGTGAATATCCCAAATGACATGCCTTACTGCAACATCATGCATAATCATTTGTCATTTTCTACAGAAGACCTTTAACTTCTACATTAATTTTAGCATTTAGATAGAAAAGATAACACACACTTTGTCCAGCTAGCACAGACCATTGTTATATGTCCTTTCCTGTCTGTCCCTGAGCAATGGACTGTCATATTGTTAAGTTATGTTTGGTTTTAAATGTCAGAAAAAATATATACGATCCCCCTCCGGTAATTCCCTACCCTTGCGGCCCACAGTGCCAGCTGCTTTACTACATGAATATGATTATTTAGAGATATTTTATGATCGTAGAACTAAACAATGAGGAAACTAGCATGACAATGATCCTGTTACAAATCCCTTTATTAGCTGAAATAAATCTTTTTTAATAGTTTTGGGTATATTATTCATTTGGAAATGCTAAAAATTGAAGTCTTGATAATGGGATAGATATTAACTCTAGACTAAATGTGATGTTGTTTAGTATTAAGTTGGTAAAATATTTTGGTGGTGATCATCCTGCTATAAATTGAAGAAAAAAGAACAGAAAAAAAAAGAAAAAGAGAAACTGATGATATTACAGTATAAGTAGGGTGTGGCAGTCACAATCTAATACTCTCTTGTTATTTCATATGTTGGGAGGAGAGGCGGTGAGTTGATCTACAAGATAAACTTCCACATATCAGATTACTGACATGTCAGGTGACTGTTTGACTTCGATAGCCAGGTAGTAGACAGTGAGGGGGATAGCTTCTGAAATTTGGAATAAACCTTACTAACTGCTATAACAGGATACCTGCCCCACACTGTGAATCATAGATAAATGGTTATGGAGTTGATTTTAAGATATTAACTATTTATGTGGTTCACAACAACTCTAGTAAAATGTCAATTAAATTTTTAACAAACATGTTTTCTGACAAGCTATAAAAGAACTGTTTAAGTTATTGGATCAAATTAATTCACAAGAAATTCTCGTGGAGGGGACAGATTTTTGTCTGTCCTGCCATATTTTGTTTAATTTTGAACTAAAAGAAAATCACCTGAGGGTATTGCAGTGCTGCTCTAACATATCTGATTTATGACTGGATGAGAAATAATTTAGAATGGTGTTTACAGATTTAGATCACAAATTATGTTACATGCTCAAACAAAGAAGTACATGTAGATACAAACAATTTGATATCACTCCAATATCTCTGATATTTAGTCTTTGTTTGAAGAAACTATTGTTGTTACTTGCTGTTGACTTTTTAGACTGAAAGAAAAAGCTTAATCAATTTTTTGGGCTTACATCTAATATTACCAATGTATTTTTCTGTTATTATTCCAACAGTGGAAATTATTCTCCTATGTGACATGTTGACAAAACTGATCATAGACTTGCTTGTCACTTGTCTTACACAAACATGTCCCTGATGTCAAAACATACCATGATTTAATTTGTGCTGCCTACTGTAAACTGAATGTTTTCCTTGTAAGATGACAGCTCAGGATTTATAGAATGACCTCAGTTTATGTAAGGGAAATAAATGCCCATATGGAAGAATCAGGGTTGTAATTTGATTACCTAAATTGAGCATCACTACAATTCAATTATCCGCTAGTTTTATTACATTTATATGTTATTCTCTGCATAGAGAGAGACTTAATTTAAGGCAATGAATCTCTCAAAGAATTAAGACTTGATGGTGACATGGTGGTGGGTTGACAAAGGAAGAGTTAGTTTGACAAGACGGTCACAGTTAACTGTGAATGGAATGAGTCATAAACTTTAAAGAAATTGTATTCAGTAATTATCTCTGAAGCATCGCAGTGGAATATGGTCTTTGTATCATCCTTTGCGGGCCTGGTATGACAAAAGAAGAATCTTTGGGCAGATTCTTGTACTTCTTGAAGAGTTGATGGGACATTTATCACCTGTGGTGGTATCCATGCAGTTAGACTGGGAATTGTGATATATGGAGTGGTATATGGATACAATGTTTAACATTTGTTATTTAGCCACTGTCAACAATATACCAAAACAGAAGTAAAAATGAATTTGAAGTAAAAAAGAAAGTAAATGAAAACTGTCATTATGTCTGTAGCCAGAAATGTCAAAGGAGACTCCTTTTTTGAAAAGGTGGCCTTTTTTGCCCCCTAGCTTAATTGATCCATTTTGAGAAATTGCATAAAACCTACATATATTTGAACTGTATGTACATATATAGTTCAAATTTTGATTTAAAGCGAATCTGATTTGAGAAAATGGCCAATTTCTTCACCCCCTCCCTCCACATCCCACCTACAAACCTGGTCAGCTCTCCTCCCATCTGTAAAGATCATACCTTAGATGATAAGTCACGAACCTAGGACAGGAAAACCTGTGACACCACTTAGTACACTCAGTTCACAAACCACACATTTCTCAGTTCTAAATTAGTTTAAAATTGCATATCAAATCCTACACCTTAGCTACAGTGGAGGCTCCCTTGGGGGAGATTAATGGCACGGGAGAATGAAAGTCTTTCAACTAGAACCGTAATTACCCGAGAGTATTCATGAAAGCTGTGCTTGTAGTCTCTAAGTTGTGGAGAATTATGCGTCATTGGGTTGCTGCCATTGTTGTGGGGTTACAACTCATTCTGTCATGTTGTCTTGTGGTATATGGCATCTCTACATACAAACCACACTTTAGGGTCAAATATGTAACATTAACTTCTAATTAGAACAGGTGGTTCTGACGACCAGTATAGAGATAATCTGCATTCTCTTGTACCCTATAATGTAGCAATATTGCTCTATAAAATCTGTTGTGACAGCCAGCAGTATGTTTTGTGATTTACATATAATTGCAACACATGGAATGAGTTGTTCCAAGAAAGTAACAACTAGTTGACAAATACAGTTTGGTTGTTATCACAAGTTGATGTCTTCTTTTGTAACAGTCACAGCTGTCTGTTCTGAAACAAAAGTTCTTCTCGTCTTTTTGTTGGCAAACATCATGGTCAATTTCTCTCAAAAATACTCTTTTCTCCTGAAACAACTCTCTTTTTTTTCACTTTTTTCATCACATATATAATAAAGTGAAGTCCAATATATGTAAAGCCTGATTATGACTGTCATATTGTTTTGTCCTTCTAGCACGGTTTGCGGCACTCCTAACTACATTGCTCCCGAGGTGCTTCAGAAGACGGGACATAGCTACGAGGCAGATGTATGGGCCATAGGTTGTGTGCTGTAAGTAGATTACATTGGCCAGGTTCACAACCAGTTGATCCCTGGACTAACTAGTCTGCAGATCAAAAATGGCGTGACCCACTTAAAAGCATGCTGAGATTTAATTATTTTGCCCCTGCTTGGAGGATGTGCTACTGATCGAGGCAGGAATCCATTGTTAAGTGCATGACATATTTGATCTGTGGACTAGCTAGTCTGCATACAAACTGGTTGTGAATGTGACCATAGAGAAAACATTAAGAAAGTAGTCAGTGAGCACTGAAATCTAGCAAAGCAGCTCGATTCTAAATATCAGTTAATTAATTCATTTATTGATTAATAGATCACCATAAAAGTGCAACTGATTCTTTCCTGGTAACTTATATAAAGATCCATCCCAAACTTTTTGAGTAAGGCTATGAATTAACAATGAGAGTGACAAACCAACAAAGTCAAAAACATTAGCCCCTTGGCATAGGTAATAATTAAATTATGCATATCAAATATGAACACTTCTCTATATTAGTTCACCATTGTTTTGTATTGCTGTATACTTTGGTATGCATTTGAGGATTTTAGAATGCATAATTTAATATAATTGGCGAAGAGAGAGGTAATGATAATGAATGATAAATGATTCCTTTGTGAAATTTCAAAACAAAAAGGAGGTTGTTTTTATGCAAAGACAAAACTTCTTGATTAAGTTAAGTGATTATTAGACAAAACAATTTTGTCAAGCAAAACACCAGTTATTTCGATGGGAAATCTTTACAAGAACTCAAGTGTAAAGCAAACTGAACATAACCTTAAAATAGTCTTTGAAAATAGTACATTATCATGTTTCTTTCTAAGAGAAAAAAAGTGAAATATTGGCATTATTACAGAATAAATTCAGAATGCACTTACTCATGCAACAAAACCTGTAAGTGTATTTTTTTGCTGTAAGTCTTTTCTATTTCTGGTGCCTGTGTGTCTCAACAAAGAAATATTATGATTTAAGTTTTAACCTGAGATGACAGTCAACTTTAGTGCAGATCGACATGGTTGTTGAAATCGTACCAGCAATATAATCTCATATTTATGAATTAAGATGGGGGCAGTAAACATAATACAAACTAGGGCATATGGATTTAAAGTACTTTTCCTCAACATATTTTATATTTGTGTAGGTTTGAATGTTTTTTGTTGTTGTTAAAGTTACATTAATTTTTTAATCCAGGTATGCCCTTCTAGTAGGCCGTCCACCATTTGAAACAGCAACATTGAAGGAGACATATATGAGAATCACATCAAACAAATACAATGTTCCTGCCCACATATCAAATGAGGCGAGAAACTTAATTAGAAAGTGCCTCAATCCGCACCCCGACCAGCGCCCCACGCTGGACCAGATCATGCAGGACGAGTTCCTCGTCTACGGCTATATTCCCAAAGTCTTGTCTGGGGCTTGTTGCACCTGTGCGCCAAAGTTCCCAGTTATTGAAACATTATCAAGGTAAAGACAACATTCAGAATGATGGTAACGCTTTGATACTGCAGGTGTCTCTCTGATATTTAGAGTAACAGAGTTATCAATGTCATGTATTTTAAAGTTAAACGCAAATGGTGTGGTTTCTTCATCAATATTAATCAAGTTTTGAGATCAATTAGCATTATATGCTCTTTTAAAACATTTTGACTTTATTGTTGTGAGATAAGTTCAATATATAAGGTCATGCACATAGGCTCATTAAAAGGGCTTTTTTTGTGAATTTGTTCAGCTAATAAACAAATTAGTATGATATGACATGAACGACCCAGTTGCACACAGTATTTTGAATGAATGAATGAAAAAGGTGAAAATGACAACTGACTATACTATACAAAGTATCAATGTTTCACCAAACCCCATTTTCATGAAGTTATTGACACCAATGTTTTGCACCCGTATGCTTTTAAAATGTTGCCTTCATACATGAATGTGTCTTGTAAGTGCATTATTTGTTAACCTATATAAACTTACACTTAAATAATGAATTTGCAGTGAACTTTTCAATCCTGGTGGCTGTAGCTTGGATATACTGTACAATAAACTGTTGAGAAATATTTATTAGCTCAGAATGCATCATTTAGTATGATCATGTGTGAAGTGTCGTTTGGATACACAAGCCACTATGTGATGAGCGCGTGAGAATTGAGTAACACAGTCATAGTATGCAGGTTGCATGTGTATAATACATCTTAGAATCTCTCTCGCATGGTGTAAAGGATCATCACTTTATGTGCTTTAATTATTAAAACAACTGTGATTAAGCGTTCATTATTTTCTCAAATCATTCTCTGATGTGTTAATGTTTCAGTAGTCGTCCCAAGTCCTATGCTGTACCTGTCTCCAACCACGAAGCCGTGCAAAAAATAACATCTTCCCTCGCTCAGCTGAAGAATCATTCCTCAAAACTTTTGTCACCTGGGGTACGTAGATTTATCGTTATGACTCTGAGGTTTTTCATTCTAGGTACTAATAATGGTGATGTGTATTACATTACATTTTCCAGAAAGTTTGACAGTGTGATATAAGACTAGCTCTCCTTTCTCAGCTTGTCAGCTAACTGTGGTAATATGGTCATTAAAATGTATACAGCAGCTGTTGAGTCATCCACTATCTCTGGATTCATCAGTCAGTTGAGGTTTCCCCTGGCTTCCTATTAAAACCAAAAACAAAAGACAAGAAGACCACTCCGGCTGTTATAATGATCTGCAGCATGATAGATAATACATAGATAATGATGTCATTATGAAATTGGACAGTATGTCAATGACAGTGAGGGAAAACTGACACCAGACCCATGCTATGATTTTTTTCTACATAAATTTAATATTCCATTGTTTCTCAAAAATTGATAGATTGCTCAGTTATAAAGCCCATCTGGCTGTTTTTTTATTTCAAAATATAACTTGATCTTCTTCAAACAGGGCACTCGGCCATCTCATCAGGTTAGATGTCAAGGCACTAATTACTCTATGCAAATCTTCACCCTTGTAAAATGATAAGATTTTATGCTCACTTATGTCCCTCATTTAAGGTACTTAATGGCTATTATAAATGCATATTAAACTGTAGACAAGGACAGCTAGGGTAGGCACTCATGATAATGGATCATTTATGTATTTTATCATAATTCAGCTGTCCAGGAAGTCTCCCAAGCCACTTGCCCAGGGAACGGTACGCGAGAAGGACAATGAGAGGTTGACACTCAGTCCTGTCACCGCGCAGACACTGGCGCCACCTGTGATAGCTGGGGGCTTTCACCCTGTCATATGTCCAGATAGATGTAAGTAACCACCAGTCTTCAAATAAAAAAAGAAAATCTTTAGCCAATTTTATTTAGACTTGTTCGCCATTTTGTTATCATATATTCTTGAGGTGAAGGTTATCAACTCTGTTCTTAGTTAAGTGTGAGCTGTTGTACAGTCAGGTGCAATTTTATGCTGCACAAACAGTGTAAACATCTTTGTTATGAAACTTAAACATTAAAAAAACAAGCACGTTTTAAAGTTGTTTTTACATTTGTTCTCATTTGACATTGTTCAAATCATTTAATCGTAACTACAAGCCGTCCTGGAATACCATCCTTAAACCCCAAACTCGGGACCTAGCACAACAAAAGACTTGTTTTCTGCCCAGAGACAAATTGATGAGTCTCATTTAGTTCTCTTATATCTTGACATATCAAATACATAACAGATTGACAAGATAACGTGATTGCCTGACCTTGGGTAATATGGCTGACGTGATAAGAACCTATCCTATATCATTTGACCCTGGACTAAAAGCCTAAAAGATCAAAGGTGTTGCTATTTTTGAGGTATATTTTTCAGACGAAGGATGAGTAATATCAAATCATTTTTCTAAATGATGTTTTCATGTCAATATTTGGGAAGATTGTGTTGTGTGAAGTTACTTTATGGTAAATGTGTTATCTGTATCTCAACTAACACAATGGTTGTGACTATTCCAGCCCAGTCTCCCAAGCCAGGCTCTGCAGCCAACCTCCTCTCCCATCTGGAGACCTGCCTCAGAGCATCAAAAACAGGTGATTGTGACCAAGAAATTGTCTGAATTTATGAATAAGAATATATATACATATAAATTTCAATACTTCAGACTTAATTTTTCACAAATGGTAACAGTTATCAGTTCTTCAGACTTAATTGTTCACAAATGATTTCATTGTGGCTCATTCAATTAATGACATAGCTAAGATTCTTGAAAACAAGTTTGGAATAAGAGTTACTTTTGGAGAAAAAAAAACAAATTTTTCATCTTTTTTGTCACTGCTGTCTCTAGTAGTGTATCTAATCATCATGATTATTTTATTTGAACTCATTCTTTATCAGGAATTCATTGTATAGTACATTGAATTTAAATTTACCTATATATTTTTCACGTCCAGTGTCTTCCCTGGCCCCGGGGTCCACCAATGCCAATATCCTCTGGGTTACCAAGTGGGTGGACTACTCCAATAAGTACGGCTTTGGCTTCCAATTGTCCAACAAGATGGTGGGGGTGCTTTTCAACGACATGTCCAGAATGGCGTTGTCTTCTGATGGAAGGTAAGGATTGAAATTTAGGAACAAAATGAAAATTCAGTATTCACTTGATTATTCATAGCTTAGATTAATTCAGTTACCTTTATAGCTTTGTTGATATAAGATGTGTCAATTTTGATGAAGAGCACTGTAAATCATTTCATGAAAGTAAATACTATATATATATATATATATATATATATATATATATATATATATATATATATATATATATATATATATATATACTGGTAGTCAGTTACCATGCTTTACCTTTTCTTTTTATTTAAACCCCTGAAAGTTGAAAAGTTTTTTAGTGAGACTGGATATCCTTGGATATCCTTGGATATTTTTTCTTATCTATTTTTTACTATTTATAGGGAAATCAACTATTTTGATGTCACAGACAAAATGTCAACATTTGCGACAGAAAACATTCCACCCTCCTTGCAGAAAAGAGTCCAGTTATTGTTGTATTTTGGTGCTTATATGGACGAGCATCTGATCCGTGGCGGAGATATTCAAGGTCCTCGTCATGCAGGATGTGAGCCTGTTTACATGAAGAAATGGTTCCGAACTTCCAAAGCCATCGTCATGTATCTTAGCAATAGAACATTACAGGTAGGGATATTTGTGCTGCATATTTTAAAACATAAGCTGTGAACAAGTATTTTAATGAATCTTTAAACAGTTTCACTTTCATTTTACCAAACACCTTTCCTGAATTTAAGAAAGAAAAGAGATGAAAAATCCGAACAAATCTCTATTTAAATGATATCAGTAGAAAATAGACTGGCTTAATTACTATTAATAAAATGGAAACTAAAAGAAATTTCACCAATACATTGTTTTCAGTTGTAGTTAAATGGGCAACTTCAGTTATGGCCACGTTTTGCAAGTTAAAGTTTAACACCAACATATTTCCACTTTCAGATCAACTTCTTTGATGACCACACCAAGATCATCCTGTGTTACCAGCCAGAGATAGTGGACACCACCTACCTGGTCACTTACATCAACCAGGACCGCGTGGCCACCACGTACTTCTTGTCCCAGTTGACCAGCTACGGCTGTCCCTCTGTCGTCCACGACAGACTGCTCTACGCCAAGAACATGCTGCAGAACATGATTGATATTGATGGCGATGATATTTAATCATGGTGAAAAATACTGTTCTTGTGTGGGAACCATTCCCCGTTTTTTTTTCACAACTGATCTCAATGCAGTATAATTGAATCGCGATGATATATAACTGATGAAAGCTGTAGTTTGAGATGTCATGATGTTATTTTGGAGAACTGGTGATTCGATTTTTTCTTTTTGTCAATGCAATGTCCTGGGTTTGACCAATCAGGAAGAAAACATTCTGGTGCTTTGGAGATATACAAGTAGATGCCTTACATCTTCAATGCAATGTTTATAATCATTGTCCTATACCTGGATTTGAAGACATCGTTCTTTGTGTTTCTTTCATATATTAGACAAGTGACTCCAGAACACTTTACAATTGAGTAAAGGAGGATTTATACTTAAGACATGGATCGCATCAAGGAATAATATGACTTTTTCATCTTAACTGTTTTCATGTGAAAACGCCTCAGAAGAAAAAACGACTTCCCTGATACTTCTGCCTTCACTGTATAAGAAGAATTATGAATGTGTTCTTCACATGCTTATACAAGAGAAAAGTTCTACCATTTTTTACCAAATAGAAAAGCATGATTTTTACACTTACAGCTCTTGAGTGCAAAACAGTAACAGGTACAATGTTCAACTGTCAGTTACTGCAAGGCAATACAATGGCAGCAATTGAGGCTTCCTACTTTGTCTATTCACTGTGGTATCAAAACCAAAAGGGTGGAACCAATATCCAAAATGTCTTCCATGTACTTATATCAGGGATTGTGAGCAATATGTTTGTAAGGCAAACTTTAGACAGATCTCTTGTGATTTAAGATTCAGTTTATAGGAAAGTGCCATTGGAATTCCAAAATAATGGTGTGTATATAATTATCTATATATAAGGGTACTCTTCCAACTGTTTAAAAATTTTTTTCAGTGATCTCATTATGTATCTCATTAACATTGTTATAGATGTTAAGCCAATTCTTAATCAGCTAAGGGTAACTTGAACTTATGAAAAATTTTCCTTGTAAAACCCAAGTTTGTTTCATTTTGTGGGTAATTTTGAAAATTCCGTTTTTGTAAGGTTTGTGATTTTGGTGCTGTTTCCCATTTGGAGGTAAAAATTATATTATCAAGCAATGCATACATGGAAGAGAATGTACATTCCACAGTATGCTCAGAATCAAAATGAGTATTGTAAATACATACCAGTTTAAGTGTTATCGGTTGATTTTGTTTCAAGTGCAATGCTTTTTTTTCTCTGTACATAAGTTTTCAGTTGTCATATCTTATGTTAAGGCAATTTTGTTTGTGAACAGCCTAATGGTGTTGAAGACAAGGTGAAAATTGAGTGTTGTGGACTGCAATGTTTTCATAGAATGAGGTTGCACATCCCATCTTGATGGTGAGAACTTGGTTTTCTTTCAGAAGCTGTGAAAGACCAATTTAATGCATTTCAGTTCGTTTATTTTTCATTTTCATTGTAAGTGTTTAAGTTCATTCAATAAATTATCATCAGAGATCAAATTTGTGTTGATCATTTAAAGATGTGCACACACAAAAGAGAGATAACAAATATTAATATGAAATCCAGTGTTCCTCAATAAATACATTGAAAAAGACTGATAATAATTTAGGTTCCATTTTACCACCAAAATGCAGTAATCGCATTTATTCTAAAATCTGTGCTTGGCATTGGACCACGTGGACCTTTATATAGATGGCTATCCTCCGTAATAATCTTTTATGAGATTTTAAAGACACAATTTTAAAAATAAAACAATGAATAATTTTGAATGTGGGAACAGATTTATCTACCATTACTTAGTGCAGGAAAATGGTGTTTACTCCAGGAAGATCCGTCTTATGGCGCCACCAGAATGTTTTCCATTAACATTTGGCAGATTTACATGTTTACACTTGTCCAGAATTTAGGTGAAAAATAAACATTTTAATTGACTATAATTTTAGAAGATTGAATTTTTTCATATAAGTAATATTTTGTGCTGTAGCAGTTATAAGGATTCCAGCACTCAACCATAAGGTACCAGATTCTGATAGCTTCCTCTTTATCACAATATTGGCAATTTTAGTGGAAATTTCTGTAATGTGTATCATTCTCATAAAATATACACCAATGAGACCGAGATAAGCATAACAAACACAAACATTTCCTCATTAAGCTTAATTTATTTGCTTAATCTTTAGGTCCATCTTACATTTTACACCCAATTCGATGTCTGGTAATAATTAAATCATGTAATTTATCTGTCACTCAACCTGAATCAATGGGACAAATTATTTACAGAGGTTAACACTTATGTACAATTGAAGTTAATATATTTAAGGAACAAGTCCACTTTCCTTTGCTCTACCAACTTTTTTACAATTAAATGATTGGATCAAATTTTCCTTTTTTATCTATTCTAAACTAAAACCTACACAACAGTAACAAGCAGACGGCTTGATCATTTCATTTCATATGTAAATACACATCAATATCAACTATCAAACAAGCATATATCATATAATTCAGAAAGACTCAGTTCAACTTATTATGGCAATGATTCAACAACCATTTCATTTCATACAGCCAGTGCTGTGAGAAGAGAAGCTAAATCTAGTTTCTCCACTGAATATAGTTCTACACTACAATGTTGTGCTATTAATACAGATTCACTGGGAATGACAGTACGTATCACAGATTAGAAAATTGCTTGCAACTTCTTCAAATAGCATTCAGCACAACTGCACAATCTGTCTACAGCTAGTTCTAGAAAAAAAACTACAAAATAGTGGGGCAGCTGTAATACAGCATTTCCAAGAATAAACAAGTTGGCGATTTTAAAAATCTAAACCAATTTTAATACATATGCTGAGTTGCAACTTAAAGAATAAAGCTATCTGTAGTACAGGTATACAAATGATGTCTGAGTGACATTTTTTTAAAGAGTGATTACCACTTAGAAATAATATGACAAGAGGGGCCCACGTCAACTTTTTTTTTATACCTGGCCCACAAATTTAAAGAAATGACACTTCTATTCATTTCATATACTGATTCATCCTTTAGCAATTTTCAATAAAACCACAATATTTCTTGACTTAACAATATAAACCGATGGAAACGTATGATAATAATGAGTGAAATTTATAATCACAAGACTAATTTGGTGAAATTTAAAGACATGCAATATATAAATCAATAGCTAAGTGTTTCAAAATAAATTCATCAACACTGAACCAAAGTCCAACACAAAATCTAACTCTCACCAAACAGAAAATGTCCCAACAAAAATGTAATTTACAAATAACATTTACTGAAATCATCATTGTCTTGAATGTTCGGGTCAAAAATTGAAATTGCTCACGTGTGACCCTTCACTGTCCTGCAGCAGGCAAAACACACCATCTCAGCATATTTCAAGACAAATTTGTAAACATTTATTTATCTTAAAACCATTTTACAGCACCATATTCTGTGACAATTATTAGAGGACGGACCCTCTCCTCTCAGAATATGATGAACATTTACAGTCAGACTGTTCCTGACTGGTGGTAGAAAAGAGATCAGTGGGCGTTTCAACTAAGTTGAAAAGTTTTTCATTGCCCCACAAACCCAATGTGTGCCAGTGAAGACTTTCAAATGGCCACGGGGCATTTCATCATGAAAAACAGAATAGTTACAACTTCACTTTGAGTTTACAATGAATCACAATATTTTAAACAGCTTCTTATTGGCTTTTTTCTGTAGTAATGCACCACCTAATTGGCTGTGAAACTGTCCCAGCATGCATTAGTCAAGTAACCAAGGTTCCCATTGCCAGAGACCTCATGTCACATGTTCCCTCTTTGGATTTATAACTTACACAGCATGTATCAATCACTAAAACAAGCCATCCATTGGCTGCGATCTCAAGTCATGTCTCTTCATTGGCTGTGAAACATTCACAGGAAGTAACCAGTTGAGTTATGGATCTTTCTATTGACTGAAGGCCAAGTCATGGGATCACTGCATGTAAGTATATGAGCTCCCAGGCTGTGGGGCTTTCACAGGGTGAACTAATGTCACATCCAGCTCAGGGTTGTGTTCATGCAGTGAAGTTTCACGGTAATGAAGGACCAAGTCCAGTAGAGTCTGATGAATAAAGAAAGGTTCGGCAAACCCAAAGCCTGTCGCCTTGTGTTCTATTACACAGTGCCCTGTTCGGCCATTTGCACTGAAAGAGAATAACAGCAATGTCAAATTATATGAATTTATTTTTTCTTCAATATCTCTTTTACTTTCAAAGATAGCTTATTGAACACCTTGTTTTGCATAATGTTATATAAGCTATTTTCATTTAAACTGAAGCGTTTAATTTTCAAAATGTACAAACTGCATGTTAATTTGGTACAGTTATTCTGTAAAGAGAATGACATCTTCAGAGCACCTGACGCCACACTTTACTTACTTTAATGACAGTGCGTAGGAGTTCATCTTGCTGCTAGGTCGGATCAGGAAGGTACCGTCTGGCTTATTCTGCAGGAGGTTCTCTGCCGTGTACCTATCACAGTCGATGTACCATGTGCTCTCGTTGTAGTGAGCTATGCTGGGGAGGTCGTTATTCATGACAGGGGCACTGAAATTATCAAAATACTTTTTCTAAGTATGGAAGACAGAACTTCACTTCTCCATTCTGAAATGTAGTTATATTGATAAAACAAAGGTTCATAGCCCCTTTCTCTATTTAATGATCATGGTTAAATTAAAATTTTCACAACATTAAATTTATATTCAACTAAGTCTCAATGCAAATAAAAACATCATTTACAATAAAAATAAATAAATAAATAATTATTAAAAAACACCAACATCATATGGAGTAATTTTTTCAATAATCTAAAAGACTGATCCTGTGGTTAATAGTCTTACCCGACATAGTAGGGTTCCTCCTCATCAGGAGTACCCTGACTAATCCTCCTCTCCGTCTCCCCTAGCAGCTTTTCATCTATGTAATCTTTGTTCACATTTTTGTCAATCAGGTATCTGAAAACAAGAAAATAAAAAAATGTGAAAAATATTGATTAAAAGATAAATTGCGCTCTTGAAACATGAAGAGTTGCACAGTTGCTGTAACATATAGTAAGAAGAGGAGAAAATCAAGTTCAACTTTAAGTTAAAATTGCCACATGTAGAATTCCTTTGTCAAATGGTACTTACTTAATATACTGTTCCCGTAGTTTGTATTCTCTCTTGATTTCTGGTTTCAGACTGTTCATCTCCTCAATGAGGCGGCGGTTCTCTTCAGTCTGATATCTCAAATCTTCCTCCAACTGTTCTTTACTTCTCTTGATTTCCTGAAGTCGGTCAGCTAACAATTTGTAGTTCTCCTCTAACCTAAAAGAAAAAATACCAATAATGAAATACAAAAGAAACATGATTCATAAACAAGAATCATTGTTATAACTAACTTAATTTTAAATTTCAAAGACCTTTAGATAACAGTCTATTTAAAATAAACTTAAATCTTATATTATGGCAATGTTTCATTTGCCAAAACTCTATCGTCCTAAAATCTGCCCAGAATTCCACTTACTTCTGCAGCTCGTGGGGCTGGGCCTGCTGCTTAAACTTGTCGTGAAGCGTAATCTGGTCCTCAAATACCGTGATTGTTTCTGAGAAGGCATCCAACGCCTGGTGCTTAAGTTGAAGCTCCTGGAATTCAAATCATCAAGAGTGAGTTCATTGGCTTTGCCTTCAATTGGAATCAAACAAACTAAATAAATAAATTGATATTTTATGAAATGGAACTGCATAAAAACTTTCCAGTTTGTTAAGTAGGGAGGTTTTAATTTCACACACCTGCGTAGTTCTTGAATGTCCATCATACAGCTTGTCATATTTCAAAGTCTTCTTCAAGTATTCTCTATTGATCTCTACCAGTCTCTTACACACCTCATCTAAATTGGCGTTCAAGTCCGCATCTTCAGCCTGAAATTGTCATCATGAAAAAATCAAATATGCATAAAAAAGACGAATCCTGCAATGTAGTAAATATAATTTGTTAGACATTTTGATATTAAAATATTGACAGTCAATAATTTACATACATATATATCAAAGATGTTTTTTCATCCAATAACTGCTCAGAAGCATAAATTCACATTCAGAGTAATATTTTTGACCATCTTGACCATCCAGCCTCACTGACCTGCTGATGTTTGGACAGTGGGTACTTGAGGGTGACATCCAGTGTCTTGTTGTACTGCCCCAGGGTGTGCTGTCTGTAATGGGCCACCAGCTCCTGTACTGAGGAGAACTTTAGAGGCTCCACAAACCCATACTTGCCATTCTTGTGATAGATCTTGATTAACTTATTGCTGCCACCTTTCCTGGAAGTGAAATAAGAAATGATTTAATTTTTGTTAATGGTAAGCATGAAAGTGAATATCAATTATTTTACAGAGATAATTATAAAAAAGTCTGCTGTTCTTACAGCTCAAGGAACAATACTATCCTGAAGAATGTGCAACTTAATTACAGTTAAATCTTATACTTTAAATATCTGAACAATAGATGAATCTGAGCACATCTCAATCCCCAGGTAAGTGGTATCCAGTGTGTTATGTTTACCTGAGTGTTAGTGTGTAGTCTCCATCTCTGGACCATGTGGTGGCATTCCTCACCAAGAAAGTACCATCAGGTGTGTCCTTTAACTTCTCATTCACCTCCTCTCTGGAATAACACACCACCCTCATGTTAATATTACTCTTCTTA